GATTTTTGCCCAGTGAAGGGGTAACGGCTAGTTTAGCCCTTGGGGCTATAAATAGAAGTGGCCTTCGGCCATGGCTGGGGTTGAGCACCTAAGGGAACTTAGTGTCCATGCTTGTGAGTGCTTGGGAGCCCTCCATCACACATACACTTGATAGTGATCATTCGATTGTGTGAGTGAGCGATTCTAGTGCGATTGCATCGTGAGGTTGCATCGAGTGGCACTAGGTGGTAGTGTTGCAAGCTAGTGGTGCTTGTTACTCTTGGAGGTTGCCACCTCCTAGACGGCTTGGTGGTGGTCTCTGTCGAAGCCCGCAAGAAGCTTGTGCGGCGCTCCGGAGAAGTGCTTGTGAGGGGTACTTGTGCTCGCCACGCGGGAGTCGCGAAGAGCAACTTTAGTAAAGCATGTCATTGAGCTACCCTCACTCAAGGGGTAGGTTCTTGCGGTGCCCGACGTGCGGGCTTAGCGGGTGATGCTAATTAGCCGCCGAACCACCAAGTGAGCGGTCGACACAACGGGGACTAGCGTGTTGGCAATCACGTGAACCTCGGGAGAAAAATCATCGTGTCAACCTTATTCTTCCCGTTGGTTTGCATCCCCATTACACAAGTTTGCAATTACTTTTATATATCTTAAGCTTGTGTAGTTGCTCTTGTAATTAGATAGCTTGTGTAGCTAGCTAATTACCTTCTTGCTTGTGTAGCATAGAAGTAGCTCCCTTGCGTGGCTAATTTGGTTTTAGTAACCTTGTTAGTCACATTGCTTAGTTTGTGTAGCTAAGTATTTGCGCTCTCTAATTAGGCATTGGTTGCCTTGTTATTGAGCATTGCTAGTGAGCTTAGTTAGCTTTGTGCTTTTGCTTACTAGCATGTGTAGGAGCTCCCTTGTTACTTAAAGTACTAGTGGCATAGGTTTGTGTGACCTTGCTCCTAGAATTATTTAGGAGAGCTCTAGCTAGCCCGGCACCTTAGTTGCTTTATTAGTATCTTTGCAAGGTGCTATAGAACATAAATTGAGGGGTGTAGTCTTGGCTAGACCGATAGTTGTATTTCCGCATTTGTTTCGGTTAGCCGACGCGATTAATTTTACAAAAGACTATTCACCCCCCCTCTAGTCCGCCATCTCGACCCTTTCACCTCTACATCCAGCACTGATGCTGGGGCTTGGTGCTCGACCCCTTCGCCGCTTGTTCTCTGTGCTACAGTGGTCGGCAATGCGGGTCCCACCGGCACGGAGGAGCCACCTTGCTCCGTCGACTCTAGTTGCCTCCTCCTTTTTCGAGGGACGAGTCGAAAGATGTCTGCATCCTCTGTGTCATCGTCCGACAGAGTAAAGATCGCCTGACGACGCTTGCTGGCCGCTGGCCGCTTGCCAGCAGCTTTGGCCACTGCCTCCTCCCCAACTCCGAGCACGGCCCAGTCGACGTCTTTGATCCCGTCGCTGGTCTGGGCGGTTGGGCCGGCAACTTGCGGCCAATCTACACCAGGGGGTGGAGACATGAACACTATTGCTCTATCCCGACCATTAATCTGGGAAACACAAAGGAGATAACACAGTAAGTTTCTCTTACAACACAAAACTACGGGTACAAGGCAGGATGATTTACCTTTGGGGGAGGTCGGGCGAGCTTGAAAGCGTGCTCGATGTCACTCAATCTGACATAATTTGGATCAGCTAAGTTAAATAGCTCTCCAATTCTGGCTCTGACTTCAATCTTGTCAAGCGCCTCTTGCCTTATCCTCGTTGGGTCTGCGCTACCTTGGTACTCGTAGCCGGGATGTACCCTCCTCTGGCAGGGCTAGATCTTTCGGCTGATGAAGTTCCCGACCATGCTCGGACCGTCCAGTTTCTTCCATGGGATCATCCCAAGCAGTTCTGGGATCTGTTCCAGGTGCTCGGGCTTCTCCGACCAGCTGGTCCTCTTCTCCGGAATGAACCCCACGTCGCATAGTGTGATCGTGTTCGGCTCTTCGCGGATGTAGAACCACTTCTTGTACCAGTCGTCAAGCGACATGTTCCAAGGGCAGTGCAGGTACTGGGCCTTCATCCCATCGCGAAGGTTGAGATACACACCTCCAGCTATCTTCGAGCCGCCGCTTTCTTTCTTCCGCAGACAGAAAAGATGGCGAAAGAAGTCAAAATGGGGCTGGAAGCCGCCATACGCTTCGCAAAGATGAATGAAGGTGGAGACAAGAAGAATCGAGTTGGGATGCAGATTGCAAATCCCAATCTCATAATACAGACAGAGCCCCTGAAGGAAAGGGTGCACTGGAACCCCAAAACCCCACTTGAAGAAATCTTCGAAAACCACAATCTCACCTGGTTGTGGATCGGGGTACCCCTCGCCCTTCGGCGCGCGCCATCCTGAGAGTTCCTTGTTGTGGAGCACTCCCATGATGACGAGGTCTTCGATGGTCTGCTCGTTGCTTCTCGACTTCCACCACTCCTTTGCCATGACTCCGGCTTTCTTCTGGGCGTCACTTTTCGCCATGAATCCGGCCTTGCTGATGAAAGCGGATGTGGTGGAGGAGTGATTGGTGATGATTTTGGAGGTATTAAGGTTGGCAAGAGGAAGAAGAAGGCTATGGCGGCGAATGGTAATGGGGTTCGGTAAAAAGTAACTTCCCAATTCTATACTATATTTAACCAAGAGTTCCACCGTTTCGTCTGCCCGAGATTCTTGGGAGACGTGCGTACACGCCGCAGATGGTTGTTTTCACAACCTTGAGATCTATGCCAATATATGCGCCTCTTCGTTATCAGTGTATGCGCCTCTTCATTACTAGTGTGAGAGGGCCCACATTGACGCACCTCCTTACAGGTGCCAAGTGACTGTTTGCTTGAAAGGATAAGAAGGCAGTATGACGTGTTGTACTTGTCTACTTTTTTGACTAGACGTGTCATATTGGACTAGACATAGTAAGAAGATAAATAAATATGCCAAATAATAGTACGGTGGCATTTGGTTCTTCGCCGCACGCCTCGTGTTTCGGGATGGCCTGCACCACCTCGTGCTCGGGACCGCCTGCACCACAACCGTGTTTCGGGGATCGCGGAGCACCACTACCGTGCTTGGGATCGTATCCGCAGACCACTACCGTGCTTTCGGGATCGCTTCGACCACTGCGGTGCTCGGGGATTGTTCTGACCACTGCTCGGAGATCGCTCTCCTCGGCTACATGTGATTTGGACTTATATACAGTCGAGAGGCATTTATTTGGACCTTGCTACAAGGCTCATACCTCGCCTTCCAGCAAGCTCGGGGACTACATCGGTACGATGCACCTGCCGGTGCATCTTGTATCGCCTGTACGACGATTGGATTCTCAACTTAATCGGGAATTTTTTTTAGACCACGCACCACGTGCCTACGTCACCTACTACCAGGCTCGAGGACTAAGTGGGCACACTTCACCTTACGGTGAATGTGTTTATCTTATCGACCCCTACGCTTTGACTGATTGCCAGAATTACTATTGTCCAAGAGGCACTTACATTTCTGTTCAGAAATACAAGTGGGCACACTTCACTAGGAAAGAAATATTTTTCTTTTTCTAGAGCACCATGCATTTTTCAGACAACCGGAATCTTTGGCTATAATCGTGGTTTTTCATTGCTCTCTGTTTCCGACTAGAATGTTGGCACATTCGGTTGGACAATGTTTCAATCGATTGGAGATGACAAGAAGGCGGATTGCATTAGTGAAGGAGATCGAAGCGGCGTGTCGCAAACATAATACATGGTGCTCGGGGACTAGCTGTGGGGGTATTAACCCCTATACCCTTATGGCTAGGCTCGGGCTGGCCCGGACTAGGGGATCTGGCTCACTAGAAGACGACGCGCGGTCCAGCCAATCTGTTTGAGTCCCGCGCAAAGAATCAAGGCAGATTTGGAGATCAAGCAAGATCCAGGTCGGTTAGAATAGGAATCCTTATCCGGCTACCTATAGCAATTGTAACTGATTAGGATTAGTTTCCAGATCTGTCACTCTGCCCCCCAGACTATATAAGGCGGGCAGGGGACCCCTCTAGAAAACACATTTGCCTGTTCGCTTGCTCGTAAATGATCATAAATTTCCAGCCGGGAACAGTGTTTTTCTCTCACACCAAACCAACCAGCAGTAAATAATCCACGATACGATACGACCTCCCGAACAGGCTGCATCTCATTGACATACAGCAATACAATCAGACGCAGGATGTAGGTTTTACGCCCTCACGGTGGCCGAACCTGAATAAAACATCGTGTCTGTCTTGCGTCATCATCTTGTTCGTAGCTTGCGCACCTGTCTGCCGACAATCTACTACCTTGGGCATACCCCTAGGTAGACTGCCGATCATATTTCGTCGACAACCTCTATCAATAAAACTGTAAAAACTATACAAGCTGTTCTGTTCATCACAAAATTGGGTAGCATTTCACTTTCATCTTTCAACTGAAAAAATTGAATTACATTTCGCATTCAGAAACATCTCTGTCAGACAGCATTCTCTTTTAATTACCCATTGTCTGTTTGTTCTATTTAAACATCCCTATCAGCCAAGTTTAAGAATTGTACAACAAACCCAATGACACATTACAGAAACAATCACAAACCTCATTAGTCATTACACATTTCCAAATGGGGAAGAATATACATTTCCAAATTCATATTGCAACAGCAGACTCGTCATGCTTCCATTGCCCATAATTACATTTTCCCTGTGTCTGAAGTATATACTCATTGAAATCGTTGAAGTGTACAATTGCCCTACACAGAATACATGAACTACAAACCAATTTGATCCATTTGATCAATACAAAATTGATCTGCATTTACCCCTCCTTATATGCTGCTCCCCATCCTGAAACATCTATGACAGCCTCTCACACACCCTTTTAATTGCCATATTTTACACACTTCTCTCTGCCTAAACATCTCTCTAGTCAAAATGTAAAAATTGTACAACAACAAACAGATTACACTAACACTAGCTACTACACGTTACTGACCTCCTCAGTGGTCACAGGTAGAGCTTCACCGGCGGCACCTTGAAGGCCGGCACCTCGTCGAGGAACGGCACTGCCTCCGGCCGTTCCTGGAGGTCGCGGTAGAACTGGTACTCAGCCTCGTAGTCGTGCAGGTCGAGCTCCTTCTTCTGGTTGGTGTGGTAATGGTGCTTGGCCCCGGGCGCCTTGCCGAACCCGAACAAGCTCACCTCCTCGCACGCCTCGAGCGCCATAACCACGGCCTGCAGGCCCGACGAGTAGTGGAAGTACCTCTCGTCGTGGCTCCGGGTCCAGTTGCTGGGCGGCTGCCCCGTGGCGGCCACGAAGCGGCGCATGGAATAGTACTTTGCGATGCGCGCGCACAGCGCGTCGAGGCGCGCGTCGGTGACGAGCAGCGGGAACGGGGACTCGGGCGTGGCCGTGGCGTTGCAGATGAGCGCGTCGAGGAGGTGCGCGGGCTGGCAGACGTACATGGCGAGCGGGACCGCGCGGCCGTAGGGGTGGCAGCCGCATCCGGGCGTGGTGACGGCGGAGTGGATAGCGCAGTGGTGGAGGATGTTGGAGTTGACGAAGGAGACGCCGGTCCGGGCGCCGACGTCGCGCGCGAAGCCCGCGACGCGGGCGTTATTGAGGCGGATGGCGAGGTCGTGCGCGTCGATCTGCGCACCCCGGCGGGACCCCAGGAGGATCCCGCTGTTCCCAACCACGGCGCACGTCGCGGCGCGCCGGCGGCCCCCCCGGCCGAGGAGGAGCGCGGGGAGGTTGGCGATGGCGCCCGCGACGTCGTGGAGGTGTCGGTGGTGTTGGCGCGCGAGGAGGAAGCCGCGGAGGGAGGCGCGGAAGGCGGCGAGGAGGGTGGCGTCGCTGGGGACACCGTGGAACGGGACGCGGAGCCGGGACACGGTCCGCTGCCGCGGCGCCGAGGTGGCGTTGCTGCGGTAGGGGACGCGCAAGTAGAGGAGCCGGTGGTGGTTGCCGAGGCTGGGGAAGGTGGACACCGACGCGTTGGCGAGCAGCGCCGCCGCCTCGGCTAGGATCTGGTCCCCGCCGACGTCGATGGCCGCGAGGCGCCGGAGCAGGGCGTCGCTGCCCCCGGCGAACCGGGACGCGCCTATGGGGAGGGGGAGGGAGAGGTAGCGGCGGAAGGCGAGGGACAGGAGCGCGAGCGCGAGGAGGAAGAGAACGGACGGGAGGCGGCGGCGCTTCATCTCCGTGGGCGCGGGGGCGGGCGGCCAGATCCGCCTGCCATTAGTAGGCGCGGTGGGCCGGTGGTGGCCGCCGACGCGGGGAGCGAGGTGAGGTGGGGTGGGGGAGAAAGCTCCGAGACGGTGGGGCCGGGTGAGCTTGGGAAGATGTGATCCTGGTGGGCTGAGCGGAAGTGCCCCCGCTGACATGTGGGTCTTGCGGTGCGGCGGGGTCCACGTGTCGGTGGTTCGATTGGGTAGCTAGCTTGTTAGTTGGGCAACGGTTGGTTTTGGGTGAGTGAGAATTGACTGACTGTTCCAAAAGTGGACATTTTGAGTGAAAATTTGGTAATTCAGGCGGCGTGAAAAGGGAGAAAGGCACTCGAAATTTGAAAATCAAACTGTACTATTTGAATTTGCTATAGTATAATGCACACTACTCTACTCCAGGTTGAGAATAGTAACCAGACGACTAATCTCCGGCCATTTACGTCGCTTGTTGGAGCCTGCAGGAACAACTAGTAGCACTGATGACTCGTTAAAAAATGGTTGTTCCGTTCATTTGTCCTATGAGCGTACTATTCAAGTGAATTAACGGTATTTTTCTCTCATAATAAATCAACAAATAATACTTCCAGCCATGGCTTTTTAGCAAAACGAACAGAAACGATAGCTATCCGTGTCCACGGTCTTAAAAAGACAACACTGTTGACAGTAACACACGGTTTTCTTTTTTTTCTCCCAGAAGGTAAAACTTTTTTTAACTTTTATTCTAGATTCGTAAAAGAAAATAGTCGATAATATAGCACACATTCGTGACAAAAATCGAGACTCCTCCTTTACTTCGCTTGTTGGTTTCAGCCAGCCCAAACCAGCCAACCAACAGTGTTTTTCTCTCACAGAAAACCAGCACCAGCCAGCCCAAACCAGCACCAGCACCAACCAGCGAACAGGCCCTTAGTATCTTTTAAGAGAAAATTATTTTCTTGATTCTAAAAAAGTTTCGCTCTTGGCCCTTCTATTTTTACGGTTACCTAATTGACCTCAAAGCTATTTTTAGTTTTTTTATATGGTCTTTCTGTTAGTTTTGGGACTTAAAAGGTGTTAAGTCAGGGGCAAAATGACGATTATGTGAAATTTATTTGAAATTTTTATATGACTCCTATGAAATTGTTAGGTTAGGTTCTAAAGGGGGCATAAAGGATACAGCCTCTCCCGCGCTGTTGTGATCTTGTTGTATACCATACCACTACAATCTTTCCAGCCTTCCATTCGTGCTCGTGGATTTCCTTTTTAAACCGAACTGACAGTGACAGTGTTTGTTCAAAGGCCCACGTGAAACTAATGTTCGTTATCTTCTATAGAAAACTCAGGCACACAAAAAAGTGTAGAGCTATCATGGCTTTTTTTTTTGACGTTGAACCGGAGGGGCGCACCCCTACTGGTATTTATTGAAAATAAGAGTACAATACGGAAAATAATAAAACAGGGTACAATATGGGATACAGAAGAGCCTAACAAAATGGGCTCAAGAAAAAAAAGGAAAAGAAGAAGATGAGCTCTAAAACATATAATAAACAAGGTTGTTTAACCATGATTCCACTCCCGGAAAGTAACTTCGTTTTGCACGGAACAAAAACAGCGCAAACTCTGATTTGAATGCCCCTTTTGGCTTTTGCCTGCTGCAATGAAGGGGGCCTGTTATTGAAAATGAGCCCATTTCTCATTTGCCAGATTGTCCAACACATTATTATAATGATCTCCATGAAGAAAGGGACCTGGAGCTGGCCTCTGAAACTCTCCAAGCAATGCAACAGCTCCCCTTGATGAGTTATCTGTAAACCGAGCCAATTCCAACAAGCTGTTGCAAAAGGGCATCCTATGAGCAAGTGAAAGACTGATTCCTCAGTTGTCTGATAACAGAGTACACAATTGTAATCTGGCAATTCCATGTTCTTTCTTCTAAGTAGCTCCCTGGTGCTCAGTCGGTCCTTCAGGATAAGCCAAGCAAATACCTTGTGTTTGTTTTGACAAGGACTCTTCCGGATCCATTTGAAACCAGGGTGAATTGTTCTGCGACCCTTTAGATGTCTATATGCTTTGGCAACCGTGAATTTCCCAGAATTTCATATGCATGTCCAAAAGTCATTGTTGTCATTCAGAGTAATTTGCTGCAGGTCTTGTTGTAATTGGGTTAACTGTCCAAAAGCTTGCTGAGAAAGAGGCAAGTGAAAAAGATTTAGAAGATTGTCACTGGTTTTGGCTTCAACTAGGATGGTATTCTTTGATTTGATAAAAGAATATAATTCTGGATAAGCAATCATTGGGACCTTGTCATTCCACATGTCAGACCATAAGAGGCAGGATTTTGCATTGTTGATATTAACTCTTGCCAGCCCCTTGAATTTATCAAGTAATTTCAGTATGTCTTTCCACCAAAATGATCCTTTCTTAGCTATTGAGGGAGGCTACCTGC